ATTAGATCACTGATTCACGTAGGGGTGTAAGTGAATACCAACTCGCTACTCAATTGTATTGAAAAATCATAAATTTATAACATCATGAGCTTTTAATTAGCAATAAAAGGCATTAATGACATTAAGTATACCTATATTTTTTTAAAAAATGTTAATGGCCTTATTTAAGGAACATATTAGCATTTTCTCGGATATAGTATTCTACTGACTGAGACTGAAACGTCACAGTGTTTTTTTCTGGATGATATGCAAATACATTGTATTCCAACATTTTATCAGATTCCTCTGCCCTATTGAAAAATTTCATATATGTTATATAGCTAAGCTCTTTGGATTTTAATAAAGAATTGATGACACGCTTTCCCACTTCATGGTATGGTTGATTTTCATAGAGTTGTGCATTTTTAAATTTCTTCTCGACTTCAGTTAAGATTTGCCATTTAATGACTACAGAAAAAGGGAAAAGCAATTAATCCAAAGTAGAAAAATGCAAATTTGATTGATGCAAAATATAAATCATTATTACCTTTGAAGGACTTTCCATCCAGAAAATCATCCGCCACAGCCTTCAGCTCTACGATACGACCACCAACTAATTCATAGATTTTATTTGCTTCTGAAGAGCTAATTTTGCGCTTGTTGACCAGATAATCCATTGATTCCTTCTCGCTGAGATCACCAATTTCCATTACTGGTTTCTTTGCACGTGACCAAGAATTACGTGCTAGAAATAAGAATCACAATCTGTAAATAATACAATTTTTTCGAGAGCACCAAAAAACATTGTCAAATACTTACATTCCATTCTTCGGGGAACACTTCCTTCACTGCTGACAAACACGGCGATGTATTTTCTGTCATCGGCATTATTCTTGGCATCATCCTGAAGGATATCAAGGATTTCCGGATTCTTGTAAACTAGTTGGCTGATATTATCATAAACAATAATTGGTGGTTTTCCGTACTTCTTTTTGTATATTATGGAAGCATGCTTAAAGGCATCCAAAGCTCTCACCCACTCGGGATAATCGATTTTCTCTGTAAAAGAGAATCAGTGTTAAAAATATGTTGTTGTTAAAAACAAAGCAGTAATAAACTCACTACTAGTATCGCCCAAGATTTTCCGTAATAGCTGTGCCGTGAAAGAGATATCCTCCTCAAATGAAAAGTTAATGGCTTTTCCAATCGCTTCGCCCAATTGCATGATATTTGCAGGAATATCAACATATATAACTCCCTGTCCAACTTCTTTTGCCGAAATTCTAGTCAGTGTTGTCTTCCCGGTCCCGTGTTCACCGCAAACCATATGATAAAATGATTGATTTTTATACGGCTGAAAAATTCTCTTAAGGCGTTCTACAACTAGAGGTCGAGGAACGAATTCATCATCCGAAACATCAGTTTCAGGTCGAGTGCCTTTTTCTATTGTATTGGTAATTAGACGTTCATTGTGCCAGTTCCGATACCAAGCGTATAGAAGGTCCACTGATATGAAACCAAGAAAGCCAGTTACAAATATTTTCGCCAGTATGGCAGTCTGCAAATAGTGAAAAGATGGTGAGAAACTCAACCGAGTAATGCAACAAACAACAAATATGTTCATACCGGAAGCCGTTTTGCAGTTATACTTGTAAGTTTCTTCCAATTGGAGGAGGCAGACTCATCAGGAGAGGTGTGGCGAGGTGGAGGAAGTGTGGAAATTGCGTAAGATCTTGAGAGATATGATGGAAATAGGTTAAGTCTTAAGTTTCTCAACATAGGATTTTGTGGCTGAAGGAACAAGACTCGACAGGTAACAGAGCGACTCCACTGAAAGCACTGCAAGATACCGGAGGAAGACATTTCTGTTAGTTGGATCAAGTAAAGAATTTGATAAGAAAGACTTTCAAAAATTTATTTAATTATTGACCATAATTACATCATCATGCATTTTGTTATCGATCGATAGTGCGGTGCAACATAGATGTTCAATCTGTAAGAAATTCTGCATGCATAATAATAATTGATCATGCGACAAATCTGACAAAAAATCAAATTCGATTAATTACTTCATACTAATACTAATACATTTTGAGAGGAATTCTTGGCATAAAATACACCTGCATTATTCATTCTTTAGAGGGAGGCATGGAAGGAAAACGTTTAAAATGTCAGTATATCGAAGTTATATACATTAATGATAATTATATATCCCTCTTCCATGTTATTATTATGCATATACTCATTCCAGTTTTGATATTGCAAATACTGTTTTGGATTCATAGTAAATTTGCCTTAGATTTGCGAGACATATCTTATGTATAGTGATACATTCAATTTTTTTCTAACAAAGTGATCTCCGTTCCAAATTGGAACGCACGTGATTTTGATGAAAATAAAGCATGGACGTCCACATAATTAGATTGAGACAAATGGTTACATAGAACCTTACTTTATTGATATATAAAAAATGTTACCGAAATAACAACATAAAAATAAAAAAAAATCATATCGCAGTTACATACTGCAGACGTAAATAAAAAAAATAATTATGTTCCGCTATTGGCGTATGCAACAACGTGATATACATTTTCAGGAGGATCCCCATTGAAAAAACTAGAGATTAGAGCTGGTGATCGCATACGTCTTTCGTCTACAGGTCCAGGATGACAAATTTGACGAATATCAAGAGAAATGTTAGATTCTAACTGATTCTGAATTGCAGTTTGGAGATCATCGACTGTTCCATCACTGGGAATTGTAATTATGAGGGAAACAATATTGGCTGAAAGTTGATTACGTGGATTATTAAGAATAACGATACAATTGAGAATGATATTGTTGGCCATTTCCATGTTTCCTAGATAAGTAAAAATTCATTTACAATGGATAGAGTCCTTATTGCAAATAATGCATAATGAACACCAGCAAACCAAACACGTTACCTTATAAAAATTGCGAAAAGATAAGAAATGTGCCTCACAAATCCAGTTTATTTATATCGCTTCATTCACTACTCGCTAGAAAAAAAAAATACACGATTAGTAATTACGTTACCTGATCATTTCTCGGATCTTTCTTCGTAAGGCAGGTACATTAAGTCATGGGTGTCAAGAACTAAATATATTTCGCCTTTTATGGGGAAATTAAACCTTCCAGTCTGACGATCGCTTTTGTAGAATAAAAAATAAGACGAATTTTGGCGATCTCGGATCTCAAGTTCCGTAACATATGAATTTTGATATTATTACTGATAAAGAACAATAAACTCTCCTCATTCATATCCTTTTTGGGTCCCATTTGTATTTTTTTCTTATCGGAAAAGCTATCTACAGTAAGGAAAAGGCTTTATTAACTCCATAATCTATAAATATAGTGAGAAAATAATTTAGCGGTGTCACAGAAATAATCTCGTGGAACAAAGACTCATAATTATATGAATCATTATTTTTTTCTTCACGAAAAATAAACCTATCATTATATCGAACAAAAATGAATTGTGATATGTTTATCCCTCAAATTACGAACAATGATACAAACTATATTTATACCTATATATCTCACTCATTCTCATCACAAATACCCCCACAAAATATGGCGAATATAACACTCTTGAAGAGATGGTTCGAGGATCCAGGCCCTATGGGGCGCTCTTCGAGCATCTGGACTAAAATTGAATCGTATTATTCTAGAGTATAAAGTTATTAAATCTAATAGGTCTAAATCCTTAAATTCGACATAATCACATAATCTCGAAAAACACTACAAATAGGTTATATACAATGGCTAGTTTAAGTGAAAGACGTGGAACTGATTGTACCGATGCTGAATGGGATGAATATTGTAAGATGCCACAAATTCGTGATAATGAAACTCCCAGTGAGTGGATGAATCGAATTTGGCCTCGTTTACAATATTTTAGAGAAAATGATCTCTTACCTTATAATAGTAAAAAATATCTTGAAGCCAGAAAATTAATAACATATTGGTCTGAGGTTAATGGATTTTATAAAAGCTATGCGCCTGAAATTGGTATTGCTATCTGCTTTTCTTGTAATCAATTAGTATATACTGGAAAACGAACCAAAAATACAGGCAATTACAACCATATAGGAATGGAGAGACATTGGGCTTCTCGTTGTACTGGAAATTCCTTTTGTGGTGTAAATTATGATGAATATTTACTGAAAATCGAACAAAAATCTATTTCGGGATATATTTATGATAATGAGTATGCATTACACCGTTATGAATTGTGGATGCAAAACGCCGTTAGAAGAATTAAGCGTGCAAGAGAAATCGGTAGAAAAATTCGAGCATGTAGAATTATACAGAGAAAATGGTTAGAAATTTTCTTCAGACCCGAAGGTATGTGTGCTACCGAATTAGCATTACATTATCAGTTATTATGGGCGGTTCGTGAAGAAATGCGACAAATTAACAATGTATAGCTTAATTTATTATAACATATCATTTATTCGATTTAATCTATTTATTAATGTATAACTTATTCATATATATTTTAAAATAAAATCACCTAAGGTATTCCTTGAGGGCTAGTACTTTAGACTTTATTTCGATACCCCTCGAGGGCTGGTATCTTTTTTTTTTGTACCAGATTCCCATGTAAACCGAAAATATTGTTACTTATTAAAATTTACAACATCTAAATTTCATGTCATCAAACTAATTTGGCTAAGTTCATAGAAGAGGCAAAGCCTCGGGACTAGGTCCCAACATCTAAATCGTGCAAATATGGTCAGTTGATGTCTTGTGCGACTATATGCAGGGATCCCTAAATTTGGATTAACTACACATGGTTTAGATTCTTGTTAAAAATCATGCATATTAAATGTCGATTTTTTCCATCAGTATTACTAAATTTCTCAACTAGAATTTACACAAAAATGAATCCACTTATTCTAGAGTATAAAGTTATTAAATTTAATAGGTCTAAATCCTTAAATTCGATATAAATCACATAATCTCTAAAAACATTAACATTATCTTAATCATTAAATATGGTCTATACGGATAAATGTCCAGTTTTGAACGATATTGAATGGAGAGATAACTGTCAATTTCCAGTAATCCGTAAAGGTGAAACTCCATCTGATTGGATAAAACGAATTTGGGATCAGTTGACGAATTATAAGAATAATAATCGTTTGACTGACGATAAAAAGCGATATCTTATTGCCAGAAAAATGAAATATTTATGGGAAGGCGATCTTGGTCATGCTGTAGGTGTAAGTATAGCAATATGTCATTCATGTAACAATCTCGTTTATTCTAGAATCGGAAGTGGTTATGAGTGTGGATTTCCTCATTTCATGGATAAACATTGGAGCACAAATTGCACAGGAAACGCATATTGTGATATTAGTCATAAAGACTATATGGAACTTAAAAGTAGATCAGAAGCTAGTAACTCCTACTTTGAAAAAGATGCGATTCGTCGTTATGAATTGTGGATGTCCAATGCTATCAAAAAAATTCAACGTGCAAGAGAAGTTGGAAAAAAGATCCGAGCTGTAAATATCATATCTCAAAAATGGTTGGAATATATGTACAGACCCGATGGTCTCTGTGCTTCACAATTAGCTGAACATTATAAATTATTATGGGCGGTTCGAGAAGAAATGCGTCAAGTTAGTAATGTATAATACACATATCTATTTATTCGATTTAATCTATTTATTAATATATAACTTATTCATATGTATTTATTTTAAAATAAAATCACCTAAGGTATTCCTCGAGGGCTAGTACTTTAGACTTTTATTCACTGCTATTTCGTGATGATTAATAGCTTTTTTTACTTTAATTTTATATATCAACCTGTTTTATGGGTCACAAAAATCCCTAGTATAGATAATAGATCCTGCTTGTTATTATTACACATCCACTTAAATTTCACATCGGCTGGAGACGATCAGCTTCTCAATAGAAGTGGCTAATAAGATGTATACTATATTATTGTATTAATAAATAACGGAAAAATAAATAATTATTTGATTGATTGCTTACATTAAACTTAGACATCTTTTTTATATGAAATCGAAGAAAAAAAGTTACAATTGCAGAGGATTCTTTATTTATGATATAAATGAGATAAATGATATAAGTGAAATTATATAATTATTATATTCGTTAAAGGTAATTAATCGAATTTGGTTAATCACGTATTATTATGATCAGGTTCGTACAAATTTTAATCTAAAAATAATTTTTATTATACAGCGTACAACATATCGTTATCTGATTGATTATGCGGATGGAATTTCAGGATTAAATAATATTTTTTTATTAATTTTATCTATCATTATCTTCTTGAACATTATTCTCAATATTACTATTGTCCGAAATATTTTCAGCGAGAACTGGTATACGAGAACCCATGTTTTGTATATCTATTTCAAAGCCTTGATTAGACTGATTAATATTAACGTTCCTCCTACTATCATTAGATACTCTGCGAGGTGATCTGGATCGTCCCCTTTGGCTAGTAGAAAATTCCCGGAGATCAAGCATCGATGAAACTTCTTCATATGATGGCGGTGGTGTACGGCTACGTTGTCTTTCTTCCCGTCTTCTAGATGATCGGTTTACATTATGAATTTGGTCGAATTGCGTTTCTATTTTTTGTAAAAAATTAGTCTTGTTAACTCTACTAATGGCTTTCAACATATTCATATAAAGTGAAATTACCAGGTCTTTCCCAAAAGCGAGAACGAAATTCATCGAAATATCTTTCAGCAACTCTGGTTCTCCGACCCGTTCTATTTCCAGCCCCATACCGACATAATGACTAGTATAATTGGGAAATTGTTAGGAATGTAATCATAGTGAGATATCTTGGTACATATATATAGATATTTCGTAATTGCAAAAAAAAAATAATACTTACATTATGACTATTAACAAGATTTCTAAACTTGTCCTTACATTGATGACCAGTATAATTAGTGCGAAATTCTTCATTGATTTTATTTGCGATTTCATTCCAAAAATCAACTCTGCTACTGCCAACAATATTATGGTATTCAATATTTCTAGATTTACGTTCGTTAATTAATAATCGTAATTGGTCATTGGTCCACATCGTGAAAATGGAAATAATAGATATGTAAAAGGTATGGAGATAGACACAAAAAATAACTTATATTTATACTACTTTTTTCTAAAAATCGAATTAACGGTTGTTAAAGATGATTTACTATATTTTAGCGGAGCTAACATGGCTAATATTACGATTTACTATATTTTAATATTATGATTTACTATATTTTAATATTATGATTTACTATATTTTAATATTATGATTTATTATATTTTAGCGGAGCCTTTAGTGTAACTAAAGATATTATGATTTACTATATTTTTAGCATGATTCTAGCTCGACTCTAGCACAAGTATGATATTTTACATATAATTATATAGAAAAAATCTAGCGTGACTCTAGCTTGATTCTAGCATGATTCAACCACATTTAAACTCCGGTTTTGGATAATTTTCATAATTTCCATTATTTCCATAATTTTCATAATTTTTATAAAGATTTTTCTATTTCTCTATATGTTGAATATAATTATACCAGCTACAACATGTCGGCAAAATTTAATCAAGCATATTCAGAATTAATCCGGAAACTACCACCCTCACTAGTGCACGAGACTTGGAAACGTCTTATTTTCAGAAAGCGGGATCCAATACCAGAAGAAGATGCTAGTGCTGTAAATCCATTAATAGAAGCATTTTTAAGACATGAAGTTAATAGGTACCAGAAAAAAATAAAATTTCAGCATCGAAGTTGGCCTTCATTTGAAAATTTATCGTATATATATAATAACGAAGTTAGCAAGGCTATAAAAATGGGTAATAAAGAAACTCAAACTCAAAATACTGAACCGATTTGTATATGTAATCATGAGGAGGAAATTAATTATCGCGTTAAGAAAGAAGTTGAAGTCTTATTCCAGCACTTACTGAAATTTAATGAAAGAACATTTGGGCAATTTATGCAGGAATTAGATAGAGATTATAAAGAAAGAGACGATATAAGTAAGAAATTACGTTGTGAAATCGAAGAAAAAAGTTAGAATTACGACATGCAGAAAAAGCACTTGCATGTATGAAACAATAGCAGAGCCTTTAGTAGCAAAGCTAGCACGGCTATAACTAAAGATTTATTCATCCTATTCATTAGAAATTTCAAGAGGTTGATCCCAACCAGCACGTATAAAAAATGGATCATTTTTTTCTCTTGTTAAATCTATAACTATAAATTTACGACCATGTAAATATTTATCAATCACTTTGACTACATTACGCCAATTATCAATATATCGACGAAGAATTCTGGTAAGATCATCTGTATTACAACTACCATTAAAGAGAACTATATAATCTAAATTTTTTCTTATTATTGAAGGACAATCAAAAAAACTTTGAGAAATATAAATCGAGCTAATATTAGAATGTCGTCCTTCAGTAAAATAAGGAATAATTTTTTCTTGTATCTTTTTAGATTCGCTACATACATCTTCAAATACAGCAACTGTACTTCTTTCAGGAGAATATGAATCTATACTTGGAATTTTATCCGGTTTCATAGTCCGGAACGTAATATTTTCATGATATGGTTTTGAACTATTAGCGATCATTTTATAACAGTCTCGTAGATATAAATATTTTGGTGATGACCAAAAAGAATTAGATCATCGTTTCGAATATAACGACTTCCTCCTTTTTTACCAGTAAACATTCGATAAAGCTTGTCACCAAGTAAGAGATTAACGACCATATTAGTTTTTCCGGAATTACTTCGCCCTGAAACTAACATTTTAAATGGCCATCTAGGTCCAGCTTCATGTCCGTTGTTTTTTTCTGCGTTTTTAATTTCATCGATGTTATATACAAAAAGTTGCATAGCTTTCATTCTAGTTAAGCCAAATAACGGTAATTTTTAATTGTTATATATTTTATATTATAGATAACCTTTTTCAATTAAAACGTTTTTAATATAGGGATATAAATCAGCCGTATAGGGAATCTCAATAAGATCTATGCTTTCTCTTTTACATAATTTGCGCTTTTTCTGATCTCGATTTTTCTGGCTTATTAAATCTACTTCTCCATTTTTTCTATGGTATAAACTATTACGATTAAAGTGTTGGACTCCATTATACTCCCAAGCTAATTTCAATTCTTCATTATATCCATCTAAGCGTAAACCATCTAGAAATTTTGGCGCACATGGTGTAAATTTTTTATCTAATAAATCCTCAAAAATATATCGGCATCTGCGTTCTTCTTTAAAATGAGGACAAATAGGACACCATTCAAATTTCTTAGCAATTAGCGGAAATGGATATTCGAATTGATGAATCCCGCAAGACCAGAGAAATACTTCCTCATCATTAATTCTACCGGTTTTTTCAAGACAACTTCCGCCATGTTTCTTAGCATAGGTACAAGCTTGATCTAGTTCGTTATTTAAAACCAGAATAAAATGAACTAATCGGGGATGATTCTTTTCCGATAATATACTTTGGGGTGGGTATTGAAGCTTTTCTAAATCTACATAAAACAATTCCTCCCTTACAAATCCTCGCTTAGGCGTAAATTCATTACCTTCAAGATAATATAATATAGGTTCGTTTTTTGAAACTATGATTTTTCGAATTTTATGAATAGATGGCGAAAATGTTGGATCCGTGGCTCTTTTCTGATTCTCCATACCTCCTTCCCATTCTCCATTGGCAAGTAAGTAACGAACTGTATCGCCCTTTTTTAACTTTTTTTCATCTCTTCCAACCGGACGTTTATATTTCGTAGATGGTCTAGATTCAACCTTTTCTAACTTAATTGCTTTTATAGGCGCTAATCCCCATTTCTTCGACCCAGGAGCTTTAATAAGTCGAGTTGCATAATTATTTAGGTAATTGATAACTTCTGGCAAATACTTAACCCACTCTCTTATTAATTTAGGATTTGAGGATATAGTTTCAACGGCATATTGTACTTTATACAACATTTCTGCAAGAGTTTTATTAAATCTTTCCACGATTGCGAGTCCTCGATGGGAATATAGACCAATTACTCGGATTATAACATTATGTTCTTGCATTAATCTTGAAGTTTCGCCCATAAATTCGCGCCCTCCATCACATTGTAGTAACCGAGGCCAAATAAGAGGATTATCCGGATTATTATAAATTTTCTTAAAGGCTTTGGCAACTTCTGAACTATTTTTGGAAGTGAGCGGAATGGCGTATTTAAATCTACTGGCGATATCTACAATAGTAAGTACCCATTTATATATTTTTCTATCTACTATATCATTGGTAAGACGTAAAAGGTCGCACTGATGTACGTAATTTGGGCAAGTAATTTTACCATAACTAACTCGCGGAATATATTTTGGTGACGGTGCATGTTTCTGCCATTCATTCTGATTCATAAGCCAATCACGCACTTTTTTGAATGGAAATCGATATCCTTCTGTTTTTAGATCTCTATATAATAATCGAGAATTGGAATGATAACCGGTAGTTTGATAATAAAGCAATCTACAGACTAGATCTAACTCTTCATCTGGATCGACTCTAATAATAGGTTTATTCATTTTCGGTGTAAGTTAGTTAACGTAAATGATTAATGAATTTTACTATGTAACTATAGTTTAAGGACAAAAAATGGATTATAAATTCGATCCAGCATATTTACAACTGTTAGACACCAACCGGGAATTACGGCAAGAGATAAATGATGAAGTGAATAATAATAATACAAATGAAAAAAAAATCCGGCATCTCATAAAAGAGTTAGAGCAATGTAATAGGACCGTTTTTCATCAAGATTCTACTATTGTATACTATGAATCAGAGATACAGGAACTTAAATTCCGGATTTCCAATCTTGAAAAGCGTCTACAGAAGGCATTAGTAGATATTGAGCATAAAGAGGATTCGTTGGTTATATCAGATAGTAGAATAAATGAACTTCAGGAAGAAATAAATACTCTCAAAAATAGAATTCGAGATTTGACGTCGCGAAAAAATAAAAAACTTTCCATGTCTCAAGTATCTAATATGAATGAGACCAGAACCATTGTCGAATCAGTTCGAAACGCATTCAATAATATTGATTCCGTATTACGAAGAATACCAGGTCTCCCACGAAATATTGAGAGTGAATTTACTGATATTAAAAATGCCGTGACTAGACTTCAAGGTGTAGCTAATAGGGAAAAAAATCGAGCGGATCAGATTCAAGTCCAAGTAGCTAGACTACGGAGAGAAATTAAAGCATCTGAGGATGAAAATGCATTATCACTCATGGCGTATAACAATGAAAAAGAAGCACGCCGTAGTTGGTATTTCTCATATAAAGATAAACATAGGCGAGTTGGAGAAATGATACGAGAGAAATTTGCATATAAATTTTTAATCCGCCATTATGCAAAAAAGTTAAAGGAGTGTCAGGATCACGGTAAAGCTCTCAATTTCAAACTCAATTCCATAGAAAAAGCAAAAAATAAACAGTTATTGCAAAAACATCTATCTGAATGGGAGTATAAAACACGAGAAGCAAAAGGTTTAACGATTAAAGTTCCAATGCCTAATTCACCTGATTTCTCGTCATCTTTTTACTCAGATTCTAGCGATACTGGAAGTCTAACAGGAGGTATGCGCCAAAAATTTGATACAATCCATAGACATAGTAGAAGAACTAGTGATATTTTGGGTAATATTGAAGAGGAATTACATTCTAGCGATAATGAGGATAGTGAAAATTCATCAAACTCCATAATTATCGAAGGTACGTCTAATACTGATATACCGCCCCTATTTAATGACCCGAATTCTTCTAGTTCAGATGATTCAGATGATGAGGAAATTCGAAGTTTATCTTCTTCAGATGATGATATTCATACAAGTTGTAGACAAATCCACATTCAGAATATTAGATTACGACGTAAGGCAGAACAAGATTTACTAGAATGCCGCAATGAAAAGGGCCTATTGGAATTTAATCGAGATCGCCTTGTGAATGATCTTGAAATAGCTGAGGATGATATCATCGATCAGAACCGAATAATAAATATTTTAAATCAAGAAAATTTATTGCTTCGGAATAATAATCCGCATATAAATAACAATCGAACAGGTATGGTTGGTTACGAATTAAAAAAATTTCATGGATCTCCTACTGAAGATCCCGAAGAACATATTGAAGAATTTAGATTGTGGCTTGTAGGTTCTGGAATAGATGTAGGTGCTGGCCATGCTAATAGAATTAATGCTCATGGTGTTTTTATAGCGTCTCTCAAAGGTGATGCTAAAGATTGGTATGAAAGAACCATCCATGGAAAAAATTGGGAATTGAGGAATTTACTTGATAATACGGCACAAGCTAATTTAGGTGCCGTTCAAGGACAAAATGCAGGCCAATTGGGAGCACAAGCATTAAATCGTGCAAATGGGCAGAATGGTAATGTTATAATTCCAGCTCATACAGTATTTGATGAAGACTGGTCTTTTGCTGATGGACGACCAACTGATCGTTTACCTAATGCACCAAATACTAATACAGGTAATACTGTAGTTGTACCTGGTATTCGACTCGGACAAGTATTATACTGGTTTAGAACTAACTATCCTACAGTTACTGCAGAGAAACAACGAGTACTTTTTGGTTCAACTGTTCAAGGAAGTGATCCTGTTGGCCGTTTCTATTCTAATTTGCGAAGGTTAGCTAGGCTTGCAGGTATAGATGTACAACAAATTCGATTACAATTTATTCGTGGACTTTCACCCGCCAACCAGATAGAAGTTCGTCGTTTAGGGCTTGAAAAATCTGTAGATGAATTACTTCCAAAACTTGAAGAAATCGAAAGATATACAGCAGAACAGTTATCTGGAGCTTATTTACGTCCAATTTCAGATCCAACGTCAACAAATAAAATTCGTAATAAAGATAATGTTTCAGATAATACCGGTATGACTGAAACTGATATCAAAAACTTAGTAAAATCTATGATTTCCTCTTCAGAACAAGATGAATCTTCTCAAATTCACGAAAGAAAATTATTACGTCCTAGTCAAATGGAACCAGGAAAAATATATCGGGGTCCAGGTTTGCGCTTAAATGACCAAGAATGGCTTCGAATGGATGAGGCAACAGATCGTCTTAGTGCTTTAGCAGGTCCATCTTATCTACAAACTTTCATGGATAAAATTAGTAAAGGAATAATGGATAGAATTACGCCTCTCTTACCCCAAAAGAAAAAAAATACTTCTAATGATGGTATGGATGAAATTACTAATGGTATGGCAGAATTATCAATAAATAATGCTATAGCAAAAGGTATTGAAGCAGGCGTCAATGCTGTTATTAAATCATCCAAACACCGTTGTTCGAATTGTAATAGAACTGGACATAATTCTCGCAAGTGTACTCGTAAGAAAAGGTCCAAGAGTAGATCCAAAAAGAGAGGCAGTGTTAATAAGGTTGCTGTAGATTCGGGTTCAGATACAAACTCTTCCAATAATGATTCTTCAGATAATAACTCCGATTCTGGGGATTCCTCGTCTGAAGTTGAATCTGATCATAGTTTTGATGTACACGTCTCTAAAGCAAAAAAAAACAAGTAAAGCGGAAGAGTAAATCGGATAAATCATTATATAAAAAGTCTGGTTCAAAGAAGAGACAGAGTCTCGAATCTCCGATTCAACGTTCTTCACAAAAAATACAAAAGAAATCAGGTACGATTATCGACTCACAAATTCGAAAAATTATTCTAGCTATGTTTAACGATCCAGAGGTTATAGAAACGATTAAAAACAATATTAATAATACGAATTTATCTATGACTCGAAGAGTCGCCCCAAGGCCTGCAAAACCTGACTTTACTGCAAAGCAGGGCACTTCGTGCTTAAATTATCGAGAGCCGGCCCCAGAAATACCCGAATCAGATGACGAAGAGGAGACACTGAACGATCCTATGGAGATAGATTTTGTTCGAAGAAAGGAACCTACCACAAGCCTTGCAACTATACCAGTTAAAATTCGACGATTGAAAATTCCAGCAATGTGTCTTGACAGTGGAGCTGAACCTGCAATTGTATCAGAAGATATTGTTAAACGTGTAAATTGGCCAATTGATAAATCAGAAAAATACGATCTTAGTGGTGTTGCAACAGTTCCGACAAAATCTATTGGTATTGCTCGTAATTTCCCAATAACATTCCCTCTAGGTTTTACTATACGTGAAGATTTTGTAGTTGTACGACCTCCTAAACCAACTTTGATATTTCCAAATCCACTTCTCAAGAAATATAAATGCGCTATAGATTGGGGGAAAGATGAATTGAAAATTCCTTTCAATGGGAAGGATCACATTATTCCAGTAACTATGCACAAGGTAAAAAATAATCTTGAAGTAAATTGCGCTACCGCATCTCAGAATGATAAGTCTTCGGTATCTGATCAAATTTCTCAAGAGACAGATAGTGATAAGGATGACAATATAACATTGGAGGAATGGCATGCTCCTGTGCGTTTTATCCCAGATTCTGACGATTCATCATTAGCAGAGCAAGTACCAAAGGTGTTAAAAAAAAATGCGTAAATTGCGAGAGGTATGAGAAAGAAATGTATGATGCAACAAAAATTATCACTAATCTTAATACTCTTGTTTATCACTACATTGGATTACCTGGTAAAGAAAATAGAGAGTAGGGTCGCCCTGCTTTGCAATAGAATAGACAAAATTCGGAGATTATAACTCATCAATTTTATATTTCGAATTTGATAAATTTTCCTTGCCTTCTTCTACTGCACGTCTAAAAGAGGCTAATGTATCTGTAGAATATGCAGGCTTTTCATCTATTTTTTCTATTAAGTCTTTGGTGATAATAGGCAAGTTGGATTTTCGAACAGATTTGGATCTCTTTGTTTTTGTTCGTTTACTTGGTTCTTCTGATATATTATAACCCTTTAGGGTTGACTCTTCGGTCCTACATAGCAATGGGACTTTATCTCTATCTAAAGACAGGGATTCTATATGAAGAACATCTGTAGCAGAATTTGATATATTAGCGGAGCTAGTGTCAGTGGCAAAGCCACGAGTCTCCGACTCAAGACACTTAGTATCGTGATTATATGTTTGAGGTATAGGTTGATCCCAAGCAACCCTATTAGCTTCTTCTCTCCAGATTTGATAAATCCGTTTTGATGATGTTCTATATTTTTTTAATAAATCCTTTAAAATTTCATTTCTTGGTTCCAAATCACGGCATTGCATAATATAATCATAATCTGCTGAAGAAAATAAAGGTGTGCCAAATTTTATACGTGGTCTAACCATAATGCTGGAAGTAACTACACAGTAGCTATTTTTATTTGGAAAATACAATATATTAAAATATAAAAAATAATGGAAAAATGTAATATATCGGAAAAATGTAATATATCGAAAAAATGTAATATATCGGAAAAAATATGTAGAATAAAAAAAGAGTTCCCTAATATTCGAAAAAAAATAAAACATATCAAATATATCAAATATATCAAATATATCAAATATTCCTATTGCTTTCAAAATTTTTAATTTTTTAACGAAGCAAGTTTTATTAATATTATGGATATCAATGAAGAATTGCGTTATGGTGTAAAAATTATATCCGAATTAAATGCTTGCAATAAAACATTGCGAGATACTCAATTAAAACAAAATAAGAAGTGGGATCGGGAAAGAAAACAGTGGGACCGGGAAAGAAAGCAATGGGAAAGTGCATTTGATAATGTTAATAGTGATAAACAGAAGTTACATACCCACGCTTCAGAACTTATTGGTGAGACTAAGCGGTTGAAAATTGAAAATACTAACCTTACCTCTGAGAATATTCGTAAAGATCTTTCTCTTGCTGAATCCAAGGCTGAGAATGATATAAAATCTAAGAAAATTAGATCACTTGAGTCTATGATCAAGATATTGGAAGGTAAGTTGAAATCGGCTCAGATGGATGTGCTTTCGATTCAAAATGACTCACTAAAAAAAGATTCCGAGATATTATCCCTCAAATCCAAAATAGCTGAATTAGAAAATATAAAGAGCTCATTGGAATCAAAGGTCAATGAGCTTGAGTATCTGAAATCGGAGGCTATATTGAAACCCATAGTTGGTGGTGATGACGGAAAAAATATTACTAAGTCTGATAATATATCTTTGGGTAGTACTGATCTCAGTAAATATTTTGTACGCAGAAAAAATATGGATCAAGCTGGAAAAATTGATACTATTATACCGAATTACACTGATGATGAAAGTACTCCTATACCCAAATCTCCGAGAGTAAATACTGAGATTACTCCCAAGGTAAGTGATGAAACTAACATTAGCGAAACTAACAAGCCTATTATGTTTCAAAACCAAGAAATAAAGAATCTGACCCCATATCTTGCACAACCAGAAAATTATATCCTCTCTCCGATCAAACCACATCCTCAGATTTCGGTGGGAGGAATAGAAGCAATAAGACCTAGTCTTGAGGCTTTGCCTCTTTCTGCTGTGGCAAGCACTTTGATGTCACTGCTATCAGCATATATTTGTCTTATTTTGTTTATTATCACGGTTATGTGGTTCGTGAGAACGTACATGGGGGTTTGATAGGAAAAAACATGATCGGTTACTGGATACGTGGATTGGACATTAGAAGTCATCTATTTAAACTTGGGATTTATTTATGTACGAAAAAATATTAATTCTATTGTATAGGTATCTTAGTAGATATTTATAATGGGCTCACCGCTTTATTCCATGTATTTAGAAAATCGTCAAGTGCCATTTGATCGGATTTCGTTATATTGGATAAGGTAGGTTGCTCGGCAATAATCTCTTTTTTTCTCATAGTCTCTGGTTGGCCAATTTTATCTGGGATTGTTATATGTTCTTTATATCGCATATGATATACTAACTTATGGAAGAAAACATCATATTTCTCGATAATTGGGATAAGTACATTTAGATGTTTCGTAAAATCCACGCATATAGATTCTTTTACTTCATCACTTACCAAAAGATCATCATTCTCAGTATATGCTCTGGCGTATTTCAAAAACTTTTCCCACAATCTTTCGATAGAATCATTACCTTTAAAATCCTCAAAATTGATCCATTCACCCTGAAGAATTTCATATGATTTTCCTATATTTTTTGATAACATCTCTCTTCCTTTTTTCACAGCATTTTTATAAGCACGTTTATAGGCGTACCCACGATTAGATATTATTTTAGAATCTATTCCATTTATCTCCTTAATATACGACTCAAGCCACTTCTTGGCCTTATTTTGAGTATAGATATCAATCTGTTTATACTTCTCATCCAAGTCAGAAATTTGCATAATCTCATCGGTAGGTGGTGGTTCATATCTTTTATCATACATTATGAATCGGGCACAAAGTGCAGTAATAGTATTTTCAAAGTAATGGGATAGATCCAACTCCTTATTTAATTCTTTTACAACATCCACGAATTCCATTTGGTCACTCTTTTTCAGTGTAAGCTTTTTACCAGATAAACCAAAGAGTGAATCCGGGTGGATCATTACATAACTAAAGTGTTCTCCTGGATCTGGAATCTTTTTTTCATATTCTTTTCTCATCCGTTTTATAAACTTTTGAACACGTATATTATTTTTATTAGGCTTCCACACAGCTGACTCTATAAACTGCTCGAAATCCCATTGTTTAGGATTGGATACAGCTTCTTTAAGAACATCTTCAACAATCTGATGGAGTGAACGTACATTATTGATATCCATAACTCCCCACATGATTCGATCTCCTATAGTTCTAAAAAGTTGGGACTTACCTTGTTTTATGGTATCAATCCCTTTGATGAAAAGTTCATCTGGTTTGAAGTTCACAGCTTCCTTGTGTGCTATACCAAAATACTTCTTCTTACCAGTAAAACAGACGGGAAATAATACCTCTTCATATGCCATTTTTAGGTAAACCGATCTGCTTTTTAACCTAAGAAATGAATTTACCTCATTACATAGTCTTTCCATTACCTTCATAGTAATTTCAACCATTTCCGTCCAATACTCTAACTTTGAGATTGTACCTTTGCCATTATTATAAGCGAGATCACATTCTTTATAATAATTATTGGGGGATTTAAGATACAAAGAGTCTGTATCACCATACATAATTTCAAAACCTTTCTTTTTCACGTATTCTGCAACAAGCTTAATATTATACTGCCCCGCTGATGTAACGCCACCAGCAAGCTGGCGTATATAAAAAGGTGAGAGACTGTTGCCCGTTTCACCATAAAATGAATTCATATACACTTTTAATGCTTTCTGCTTTGAATCTAAGTAGCTGTAGTCAAAACAAATTGAATCATATTCTTCTATAAAATTCTTATAATGTGTTCCAATAAAATTATTTAGGGTTTTGGTCACGTCTAGGCATTTCTTTTCATCTTTTATATCTTCCAGAATACCTTTAATGGTTTCTACAGTTACTATCGAATTAACTTCAGAATTTATTCTACTTTTCACAAGTCCCATATGCTCTATTTTCTTTCCAAGGGGTTTCAATTGGGTCTTCATCTCATTTCACTTATTAAGTAAATATTCTAATAGAGATGGATATAAGCCTTTTTGGTTAGATTTGTTTTCATGTCGTATGCTCCATGCATGAATGGTTCCACCAAACTCAATTGTATGAAGTACTTTGTTTTCTTTCTTTAGTACATTTGCTTCAGTTAATGTATATACCATCTTTTCTGGTGATAAATTATAAGTCATAATAAGACTCGGATACAATGATGCAAAATCCAAACCTGTAACTGGACGTTTATCTTCAAGCCTTTATCTGGAGGGTATACATAAGCTCCTGGGAATGATCCTTTTTCAGTTTTTTTCATTATCATGGTAACTAGAATATCTCGCTTCCATGCTTCGGCACCTAAGAGATTACGTACCTTCATACCTATAGCATAATAATGTGAATCGAATAAAGATATATAAGCAATAGATGCTAAGCCCCTATAGTCATTTATCATATTTTTCTCCACCATAAGTCGCTGACAAGATTTAGCATCCACGATACAATACTCTGCAATTTTATGCATATATTTGGTAGTTTCAGTCGTAGTAGAGATTTTGCTTTGCTCATAATATTTTCTCATATTCTTTATAGATAAATCTATTTTACTTTCGAGACCATTGATTTCTAAGTAATGGTTAAGTGTATTTATCTCAGAATCCGGATGAAGTTTTTTACAACATACTATCACATCAATCGGAACACATCCGGGAATTTTAAGAAAGGTGGATGTAAACGTTTTGTCGGGAGTGATTTTAATTTCTATTCCTTCCCGATTCTTTATTTTTTTTTCTTTGATATTATGATTATCCTTTTTCCCTTCCGATTTCACTTCCCATGTGTTTTCCTTATGAAAGAAATCTTTATAGAAAGGTTCGCCTACCCCTCCATAGTAATTCCAACGAAGAATACCATCAATTGTAGACTTTTTACGTGGATTTGCTGACATTTTTGTCAACATCCAATCTAAGATTTTCCACTGAGTAGCTCTTTCTACTATGAATGGCCAGTCATATTTAGATCCATAATATGTAAGTTCGATATCGGGGGCTAATAATTGCCAGCATAAAGCAAATGCTTTTAGTAGATTTTTTTCATTTCCACAAATAATCGTTATC